AAGCCAGTTTCACTTGTAAGAGCTCAAGGAGGAAAGTTCTACGTGTCTGCTCGCTCTCCCTCTCTCTCTCTCTCTAGGTTTCCTCAGGGAATATCATTCGTATTCAATTGTTCTATCATTTAATCGACCTAACTTGCAATTCAGTCTGAACAAATGGTAATGTAGTTTAAAGTGCTCTCTGGACGTGACCAGTGATGCTACGGATCTTGCAGACCATTATGACTGGACCTCTGCATCGCCCACGGCACCAGCTTCTTTTAAAATTCACGAATAAATGCGAAGGTTCGCGTTCCAGCTGTTTGCGTGAGTAAATGAGAAGACTGATCGAGCACCGGAACAGTTAGTTTATTTCTTTGAGCTTTCAAACTCGTACAGGAATTCACCGTCAGAGGTAGCAGCAGCAGCAGCAAAGATTGTACGGGATGCAAGCCAATCAATTATCAGTGACTCATGCCTGGAGGTGACTGCGCTGAATCGATACAGAATTCTCAAATGAAAATCAGGCTTCAATCAATTATCGCAAGTTGCTGCTTACACCTACAAAATGGACTATGAGTTCAACTTCACAGCCGTCAAGATACTCGCCCACGTGGGGAACAAGAGAAAACCTATGTGAACAAACGTGGTGGATGATTTTAACCAATGAACGTGCGGTATGACGGTCCAATATATTGGCGGACGCTTTAATTTTTTTTATCTGTCGTGAAGAGGTTCCAAAAATTGGAATAAAACACTGGCAAGGTTTAATGTAAGTTATTGCGCATGTAATTGAAGATGTGTGCGGCGCTTCGCGCCGCGGACTATACGAAAGTAACTCCACAACGGTAAATTGGACCACAGGTAAGTTGAAGTAGATGACCTCCTAACCACCATTTCCTTTTTCTAAATAATTTAAGAAACAATCTAAAATAATATAATAATGAATACAATATGTAAAAAAGTTGGAAACACCTGCTAGTCTGTTAGTCGTTCTCCCTGCATTTTTATTGGCTACACGTTTATCCGCAAACCGTTTCAAATACTCACTTTCGGGGAACAAGACCAGCCGAGGATTGATTGAAGGCTGACCCACAGATAGGAGCTCAGTCAATCGATATATCGATTTTATGACTACGTACGGGGCCCTGCGCAGTCACCTTTAGACTTGCGTCCTTGTTTTTGCTGTTGCTGCTGCTGTCTTTTACGATGAACTCCTGTAAGAGTTTGAAAGCGCAGAATAATAAACAAACTGTTCCGGTGCTCGCCTAGTCTTCTGTACTCTTTTAAAATTTGCCTATTTCGTCAATCACCCTGAAAAGGTCCGTGTTGGAGGTCATTGCTGTCCGTCTTGTGGGTATTGTTCTTCCAAAATGGCTGGTGACGAAGTTTTAAGAGATATTCATTGCCTGGAACGCTAATTATCTTCTTGAATACGTGTTCCGTAGGACAGGGAGTCCACGTGGTTGATTGCTGGAAGAGCCACTGCCTTTGAAAGACGTCATATGTAGTGAGATTTCGTTGCTTTTCAACATACGACATCAGGCAGGAGCCAGCTGTCCCAATGGGAGCCAACTAATTCCTATGTCAAGCTTTCGTTATATGTCCTACGGTGACCTCAGGAAAATTGCCGTTTACTAGAAGCCCCCCCCCCACCAAGCCAAATTCTTTCCCACCGGTTTTTCGAAGGATTGCAGGACTTTGATAGGGTTTGCGTATCGAATTCCTCCATATTTTGATCTGTGATAAAGAAAGCAGATATGATTCAATGGGTGTATCGGTTTGTAGGGGTTCGGAAGTTGAAAGTGATTGGTTTAAGG